CAATAAAACCATCACAGAAAATTTTAATGGTTTCCACTACAAATAACATTACAAACATTACAAACCATCAACTTTTAACCATTAAAACCATTAAAAATGGTTTACTGTAGTTTGTTTTGGGACATATTCCATTAGGATTTATTGGTTTTAACAAGCAACCAATAGAAGGCAACCTATTACCAGTAGAGACCAACAGGGTCCATTACAGTTTCCAGTAAAACCAATACAAGTCCCATTATAACCAGTAAAACCATTACATATTTTGTAATGCTGTCTATTGTTTTTTTAGCAGGGTTATTAATTTATTTTTATTTGAAATATTCCCAAAATATATCATGAAATATCTCGATTCTCAAATATGTGTAAGTAAATGCATTTTGCACCTTTATAGATTATGTTAGTTGATCTATAATGGGCGATGGGCAAAGTAGCCTAATAGTGTAATCTAATAACTTTGCATAAAAATCCATCTTTTTACTTAAAAGAGACATATTATGCCCCTTTTTACAATATGTAATGTAAGTCTCTGATGTCCCCAGAATGTGTCTGTGAAGTTTCAGCTCAAAATACTCCACATATCAGTTATTATATCATTTTGAAAATGCCTATTTTGAGCGGATACGGGTGTCATACCATAACATATTTTTAATACAACTTACTTTGTATTTAATGTGAATTTAATAAAAATATAGTTAATAGTTACTAATTAGTTAGTTTAATAGTTACTAATTAGCCTATAACACTTTGATTGTACAAAAAGAGAGCAAAGAACCTTTACATTATCAAAGATCATTTCCCCTTCAGTCCAGCGAGATCAAGCAATCTCAGAAACTCCTATAATAATCTCTAAAGCTGTTTACACTGTGAAATTAATATCTTACTTACATTCGTACATCTTCCCTTTTGTTGTTTCTGATGAGATAATTAGCCAGAGAATTCAGTCAAGTCAGCGCGCGCAGTGACGAAACAGTGTGTTTCAGCGGTGATGCATCTGAACGCCTCTGATTGGTCCTTGCATTCATAACTCAACAGGATCGTATGTGATTGGTTATAATGCGCAGTGCTTTAAAAACGCGTGTGTCTCTGTGCCAGCCAGTGAACGCAGATTTGAATTTAGCAGCTCGTGATGTTTTTCTTTTTTTATATGTAGTTTACAGGACCAATTGCGCATTTCACCCAAAATTGATTTGATATGATTCCAAATTTAGGAGGGCCAAATGGGGGGGGGGCAAGCTTGTTGACAGGGGGGTACTGGCCACCCCCTAGAACCACCCCTGGAAAAGTTGTCTCGCTGATTCAACGTTTGCAACAAAAGATAAAAGAGCTGTACCAAAAAGTAGGTTTAAATGGCTCCTATTATGCTCTTTTACAAAGTCTTGATTTTGTTTTGGGGAGCCGTCTGCGAGCTTCAGTGTAAATATTGCGTCAATATAAAATCAATTTGAGCCTGATTTAAGCCCGGATGATTGTAACCACTCTAAGTTCGTCTGCCTTGGGAAAGCTAGCGTGTCTCCGACATAGTGATAACACTCGTTGCCTTCTCTAGTGCAGCTCAACCAGGTCTCGTCCCATTCGTCGGTATTTGTGATATCACAAATCCCGGAAAATATGTGTTGTAGTCCAAACGAGTCATTCGTTGTAGTTTTTAAAAAGTGATTTCTGTTAAATAAAATATCTCCTTTTGAAGTGGATTTTGAGCTTTGTAACTTTGCAGATCTTTTTTATGCTCAAACAGCAACATTACAGACTAACTAAAGTTGAAAAAGTGAAAAAGCATAATAGGACCTCTTTAAATTTTCAAGCTGATAAGGTGTTTTAAAGGTGAATTGTGTAATTTTTGCAATGTTAATTTGATCTTGTACCAACTTCATGTGTAGAGACAACTTTAAATCCATTCGTAGGTTGAATTTCCTAAAGAATGTGAGTGCTTTGGCTCTGGGGCACTTTCAAAACATTGCTCTGTTTGCATGAGCAGTCTGATGTGTCTACTTCTAATTCAACCAATGTTGTCAGTTTGTGGCAGGTATACCTGTAATATCTGATTTCTGGGAAACTGACTATTTTGCTTGGGAAATCAATAATCATACTTATTTGTTTGGTGCAGTAGTCTCGCATAAGTGAGGAAAGTGGTAACATTGGCAAGTGAATTCTTAGGGACTATGTTACCAAGCGAGTATTTACAAAGAGGGAGTGTTAAGTAAGGCAAATAATATTGTGAGTGAAAAGAGGCATCCTCTTGCCTCTGCTTTTGAATTTGTGCCATCTGGTTGACTATATTGTCTTCCTTGTTGTATTATTATTATTATTATCATTAATATTTTATAAATGATGACTAGCTGGTCTTGCGATTCACTCACTCATTTATTCATTTTTTATATTTATGTGTATATATTGTGATTTCTGATGCCTGTGAACATGCTGCAAACTCACTTTCCCTAAAGTAAGCTAATTAAGTAACCAGACTAAACAACATAAACCACTCTACAGCTTATTCTGGCCAATAACTGCTCATTTAGTCAGGAAGTGACAGTCTGACCGACATATAAAGTTGTTTGTTTTATTTTTAAGAAAAAAATATATTTTTTAAGTTTATACCACAATAATAGACTGATGTGAAAATAAATAAAAATAAAAATAATAGTAATGGCAATGCAGTCTGCACCAATGTTTGTGCAGAAAACACTGAAAAAATAATGGAAAGATTTGTGGACTCTGTGATCAGAATTTCTGCCTGTCCAGAATTTCCACAGACTATCTAATTAACTAAATGCTGACTAAATTCCTCTTTTCCTCAGTTCCACTATAACTCATGCTGATGTCATTCCCTGAGAAAGAAAGAAACAAATGCTTTTTCAAAACTCTGTTAATGCAATAATTCACCCCCCAAAAATGTGATGTTTTCAAGAAAACTTTTTCATTATTTTAAGTGGTGCTAGAATGTCAAGATCTTGAAATGTTGTCACTTATGTATTGACAAAATATTCCAGGAAGTATATGTTTATTAGCATATAATTAAAAATAATGGAGTAAAAATTGTTTAAGGCATCCAGAATTTCCACAGACTATTACAGACAACAGAATCTTGGAAGTATGACTTGATTAAAAAGAACCCTGTGTCCCCTTATTCTTGTAAAGTCAACAAATCAGATTAGAGCTTGCTGGATTGAGAAAGTGCATATTTTAAATATGCATCAGATGGTCAGATCATTTTAGACTACACTCTTAAAAATAAAGGTGCTTCATAAGGTTCTTCAAGCGATGCCATAGAAGAACCATTTTTGGTTCCACAAAGAACCATTCAGTCAAAGGCTCTTTAAAGAACCATCTCTTTCTTACCTTTTTATAATCTGAAGAACCTTCTTTCGCCACAAAGAACCTTTTGTGAAACAGAAAGGTTCTTAATATGTTAAAGGTTCTTTATGGAACCATTTAGACAAAAAGGTTCTTCTATGGCATCGTGAAGCACCTTTATTTTTAAGAGTGTAGGGGTGTAGACGGACGGACGGACGGATAGATAGATAGATAGATAGATGGATAGATAGATAGATCGATACTGTAGATAGATCGATACTGTAGATAGATGCTGTCACTCATTTTGACTTTTTCTTTTTTCTCTCCAGGTTTGGGCCTCCATTCCTGATGAGAGTAGAAAGGACTCTGTCTTGGGCTCATCTGCAACAGAGTGTCTGCAATAAGCTTTACTTATTAAAAAAAAATGCAATCATAAAGGTGAGTGTGAGCTGAACATAAATTACTACTCTCAGGTTTTGATGTTAGCTGCATGTGCTGTGGTTAGAGTTTAGGTAATTATAGGATACCGAATCTCTTTATTATGACAGAAGCCTCTCGGCAATTAAGACACCGCTCTCCCTGCAAGCTTAAATATGCACATGGGAGAAGGATAATCATAGAGACTAATGAGTTGAACAGGAGATGGAGAGATGAGGTGAAAGAGAGATCGTCATGAGTATAGATTATTTTTCACTTATTAAATACAAACCTGAAGAACTTTCCTTTTATTTCCTTGTAAGTTTAAATATGCAGGAATGGCATTATAAATGTATCCGTTTTCCCAAAAAGAGAGACTAGTTTAACTTTGCTAAGTTAGGGAATCATCTTAAGTTAAAATCTAAAATACATTTTAATCACTCTAGTAGAATCTGTTTAACTGACTAACAGTTTACATTTATCAAATTAACTAACGCATTAAATGCCACTTTGAACAGAAAGTCTTTGAAACTGGATGTCACTGTTTTGTAACACCAGTCCTGTTCACTGGCTTTGTTTTTTTTCTATGCTAATTCTCACAACTTATTTTACTTACAATATTAGTAGACCTGATAGATTGTATAGGAGCCTTACGCTGCACAACAAACTAAATGTGTTAGAATGTATTTCAGAAAATTAATGAGAGAGAAAGACACGAGATCTTACGATGTCTCCTAATTGGTTCAGTACAACAGAATGGCCAGTACAGCAGAGAGCAGAGTTGTATTGTTGTAATGTCTTCACAGCGTAATAAATTAAAGGACCAATATAAACTCACCTTCTCAAACAAAAGACTGCTTCCATTTTCATCTGTTCATTTGTTCCCATTAAATCTTTAATTTATCACTCTGTACGCTTGAGTACAGCTCCATTTTGCTCTATTTCTGCTTTAAATTGCATCTTCAGAGCCATCCTCTCTTCCTCAGTTCCACTATAACTCTGCTGTCATTCCCAGAGAAAGAAAGAAACAAATGCCTTTTCAAAACTGTGTTTTCAAGAAACTGTTTTCATTATTTTCAGTGGTGCTAGAATGTCAAGATCTTGAAATGTTGTCACTTATGTATTGACAACATTTTCAAGGACGTATATGTTTATTAACATATAATTTAAAATAATGGGGTAAAAAAAAATTTTTGCGGGTCCTGGTTTTCTGAACAAACATAAACCTGAAGCTTAAAGGGTTAGTTCACCCAAAAATCATAATTCTGTCATTTAGTTATTCTCATGTTGCTCCAAATCCTTAAGACTTTAGTTAATTTTTAAAACACAAATTAAGTTATTTTTAATGAAACCTGAGAGGTTTCTGTCCCTCCATTGAAAGTCCATTCCACCAAAAGTTGATTAAGAGATCATAAAAGTGATACATAGGAATCAAGCTGTTTAATGTCTTTTGAAGAGGTTTGATCAGGTTATATGACACACATATTTAATTTAGGCTCTTATTCACATAGATACATTGATCAACACATACATAGAGAACATGTCTTGGTCATAGACATTTCTGAGGACTTCCAGAAAATGTCAATGTTGAAAAGGTTGCAAAACTATAAGATTACAGTACATATTACAGTTGTAAGGATAAAAGAAACTCAGATACTTTGATCTCCTGAGAAACAGACAATACACTGGCATCTTCAAGACACCCCACAGAGGGGTGGTGCAGGAAACGCCTCTCTCACATATGCATCAGTGCCTTTTCATCTCCTCCCTCCCCTGGATTCACTCAGAATGGTCAATAGTATCATGTTCAATATGAATGCAAATAAGATTTACAGTCATGTTTGGTTTCATTTGAAGAGTCTCAGGTTGAGTGGTACAATGGTCTTAATCTTACAAAAGCAGACTACTCCCAGGTCTTTCACACAAATTACCTTCTGTTCCCATTGAGGTGTAAACTAGCCACCCAGATACCAATTGTTTGTACATGCCTCCACTTGGGGGATGTTTTATCTTGGTTTTGTATTTTGTGTATCTTGTGTTTTGTATTAAAATTGCAGCAAAAGGGTCGGCGCGATTCTGTAGTCAGAGAGCCCGTAGTATGTATTGTCTCCACACACTGTATACTATGTATTTTCCTAGATTTGTCTAGGAGAATTTGATGTCTTGTATTGATTTGATATCTTTGAATTTGC